GTGGAAGTGATCATGACCACAGGGATTGTTCGTTTGTGTGTCTTGACTTTTGTGGAACGTGGGGAGACTGCCTGGGCTGACTGTGACTGGGCCTGGGAGCACGGGACAGTGTATTATAGTTTTTATGGGGTGATGCTGTGGACTGCCTACATGGGGCACCTATGTGTTGGGACAACGTGTCCAGGGTTCTAAGGGATAATGGGGCTACCAACTATGTGGGGGCAAGCAAGAGTTCTAGGGAAGCGTCCAGAGCCGCAAACGGGAGTGGAAGGGAATGCGTGTGTATGAGGGGTACCGTGATTGTTATGTATGAACAGGGCCAGGCAAGAAGAAGGAAGACAACAAATGGCAAAAATGGACTTTGGAAATGAAAACGATAGCAACGCCATCAACAGGCCTACTGAGGGACAGTCATCAAGGCAGGCTGGGTAATCAAGCTCCAGGAAGAGGAAGCTATATGTGGGGTTTGACCACAACCTGGTGGTAAACAGAGGGGGCAAGAAACAAGGGATCAGAGGGTCGTCACCACTGAAGGAAGGGGAGCCAATAGAGCTGCCTTCAGACAGCAATCCTAGCAGCAACGAAAAGGGGAACCCAGAGGAGGGACAACGGCCGGGGGAGAATGAGCCCGTTGAGTTCATTGACCTCACCAGCGACGAAGAGGAAGATGAGGTAACAACGCCCACAAGGGAAGAACGGGGAAGAGGGGAGCAGCCGGGTGAGAAAAAGGACAAATGGATAGAAGAGTTCGGACCTAAGTTCAGCGATTGGTTCGATCAATGGGCCAACATTTTGCGTTATTAATGGGCACTGAAGGGCCAGGAAAAGTTGAGCAGGGGAGAAGACATATCCCCAACAACCTTCGTTTCAGAAGAAACGCTTCGCCATGTTCAAACCATAAAGAGGCTAATGGAGCAAGAGATGGAGGACTGTGCAAGGAGGAAGGCTCGGCGTCGAGCACCGGGGCAGTAAAAGGGGACAGCAGGCATGATGGGAATAGCTAGGAATCGGGGAGGGGTTGGTAGCAGGGCAGCAGGAACTACCATCTTTCCTTTTTTGCGCATTTGGACTTCTTTCCGAATGAACTGTGATGAGACAGTTGCTAAGCTCAAAGCGGCTAAGGACTGGGTAACGATTGCTACTTCACATAAGTCGTTGCTTCTTCGGGAATGAGCACGAGAGCTTTTCGCACTTAGAATAGAATTCTGGATGGCTGGGTAGATTAAGGGAAAGAAAAAGGGGAAACAAGGGGAACCTAAGTCGGATGTATGGATGGATGTAAGGATGACAAAAGACATGAGGAAAAGGAAGAAGCATGCGTAAAAACCCAAGACGATGGCCGCCCTCTAACCCCCGAGACGAGATAGGATCCGTGTCCTCGAGGCCCACCCCCTTGGGCGCTAACATTGCGATGGACAAGGATGACCCTAACCAGGCTGTTCAATTGAAATGGACAAGGATGGCCCTAATCAGGCTGCGCAATTGAAATGGATAAGGATAGTCCTAACCAGGCTGTCCGATTGCAATGGATAAGAATGGCCTAACCAGGCTGTTCGACTTGGAAGTGGAAAGAACGACCCTAACCAGGTTGTTCGGAATGACCCCTGACAAGGGTCACTCTTTGGAATTGGCACTRGGGTCCCCTTSCATGGCTGCTTGAGATGTATGATATTGGAAGAGYWGAGCTTTGGAAAAGATATTGATGAGATATTGAGCCGAGTTTGAAAGAGGCATTGAGCTGAGCCTTGGGTAAGATTGGAAGAGCTGAGCCTTGGAAAGTATATTGGACTCAGCCTTGGAAAAGATATTGCATTGAGCATTGGACTGATATTGAGCATGGGAATGAGACTGAGCATTGGAATTGGACTGAGTATTGGAAATTGCATTGTATAAATAGGGGACCCTAGGCAACTCGAAATGGACTTGGAAAGAGCCTTGAAATKGAATTTCTCRTTTTCTAGTCTTTGGCC